ACATCAATCGTAAAATCTACACCGGTATTCATCGTACGTTACACGTACGTCACGTGTCACGTTTGTCACGTGTTACGTTTGCCACGTGTTACGTACGCTACGCGTCACGTATGTCACGTGTCACGTACGTCACGTGTTACGTTTGTCACGTGTTACGTACGCTACGCGTCACGTACGTCACGTGGTACGTACGTCACGTGTCATGTACGTCACGTGTCACGTACGTCACGTGTCACGGATGTGAGGTGTTTACGCATGTGACATGTTACGTACAGTGAGGGAAAATAGCATTTGATCCCCTGCTGATTTTGTACGTTTGCCCACTGACAAAGAAATGATCAGTCTATAATTTTAACGGTAGGTTTATTTGAACAGTGAGAGACAGAAATAAGTATTTGACCCCTCTGCAAAACATGACTTAGTACTTGGTGGCAAAACTCTTGTTGGCAATCACAGAGGTCAGACGTTTCTTGTAGTTGGCCACCAGGTTTGCACACATCTCAGGAGGGATTTAGTCCCACTCCTCTTTGCAGATCTTCTCCAAGTCATTAAGGTTTCGAGGCTGACGTTTGGCAACTCGAACCTTCAGCTCCCTCCACAGATTTTCTATGAGATTAAGGTCTGGAGACTGGCTAGTCCACTCCAGGACCTAAATGTGCTTCTTCTTGAGCCACTCCTTTGTTGCTTTTGCAGTGTGATTGGGTCAATGTCATGCTGGAATACCCATCCACGACCCATTTTCAAAGCCCTGGCTGAGGGAAGGAGGTCCTCACCCAAGATTTCACGGTACATGGCTCCGTCCATCGTCCCTTTGATGCGGTGAAGTTGTCCTGTCCCCTTAGCAGAAAAACACCCCCAAAGCATAATGTTTCCACCTCCATGTTTGACGGTGGGGATGGTGTTCTTGGGGTCATAGGCAGCATTCCTCCTCCTCCAAACACGGCGAGTTGAGTTGATGCCAAAGAGCTCCATTTTGGTCTCATCTGACCACAACACTTTCACCCAGTTGTCCTCTGAATCATTCAGATGTTCATTGGCAAACTTCAGACGGGCATGTATATGTGCTTTCTTGAGCAGGGGGACCTTGCGGGCGCTGCAGGATTCCAGTCCTTCACGGCGTAGTGTGTTACCAATTGTTTTCTTGGTGACTATGGTCCCAGCTGCCTTGAGATCATGGACAAGATCCTCCCGTGTAGTTCTGGGCTGATTCCTCACTGTTCTCATGATCATTGCAACTCCACGAGGTGAGATCTTGCATGGAGCCCCAGGCCGAGGGAGATTGACAGTTATTTTGTGTTTCTTCCATTTGCGAATAATCGCACCAACTGTTGTCACCTTCTCACCAAGCTGCTTGGCAATGGTCTTGTAGCCCATTCCAGCCTTGTGTAGGTCTACAATCTTGTCCCTGACATCTTTGGAGAGCTCTTTGGTCTTTGCCATGGTGGAGAGTTTGGAATCTGATTGATTGATTGCTTCTGTGGACAGGTGTCTTTTATACAGGTAACAAGCTGAGATTAGGAGCACCCCCTTTAAGAGTGTGCTCCTAATCTCAGCTCGTTACCTGTATAAAAGACACCTGGGAGCCAGAAATCTTTCTGATTGAGAGGGGGTCAAATACTTATTTCCCTCATTAAAATGCAAATAAATTTATAACATTTTTGACATTAGTTTTTCTGGATTTTCTCGTTGTAATTCTGTCTCTCACTGTTCAAATAAACCTACCATTAAAATTATAGACTGATCATTTCTTTGTCAGTGGGCAAACGTACAAAATCAGCAGGGGATCAAATACTTTTTTTCCCTCACTGTATTTGGGGAGAGATGGGAGGGGGGTGGGTTGCCAGCACAAAGCACGCCCGGCCGCCTTTGTCTCCCCCTGATGTCGATGTTTACTACATTGCCACGGCACCGGGTAACTAATTTTGAGGCTGAGCCGACCGACGGAAGGAGGCCCAGGTGCCCATTCAGATGATCGCTGTCACCTGGGTGTCAGTGTTTGGTGGCCGTGAGCGGGAATCGATCGCGTGGTCTCTGTAGGTTTCTTAGCGCTATCCGCTACGACGCTTTCCGCTAGCCGCTGCACTTGTGCAAGACCCAACCACAGAAGATCCCCCGCGGGGGTTTTGACTTTCCACGAGGCTCCACGGCCCAACTCTCAACCACAATGGCGGCAGTAGACGCGGATAAATGAATTAACCAAGGGCTTTCCCTGAAGCCCAAATGAATTATGTAAAAACAGTTATACATTTTCGTTCTTGGAAATGTTTATTACAGGTCACACGGGCGCTTAAACCCAACAAATATGTTGCGCCGGTGAATCCCAAATCAACGTGATCCCCTCTAAAGTACGGTAGTTGCAATATATTTCGATTTAAAGCTTTCGTGACTGCAATGATTCATCTTCTTTGGTTCTTTCGGTAAAGTCACCACGTAGAATGAGAATAAAATAATAAATTGATAAAATAAAATATTATTGTGTTATTTTATTTTATCAATTTATTATTTTATTCTCATTCTACGTGACTTTACCGAAAGAACCAAAGAAGAGTTGCAATATATTTACAACAGTGGGGCGGAGTTTGATTAATTGTTGATTGGCTATTGACCTGCTGTCATCCACCCAGTGGGCCGAGTCTTCTGCTGGGCGGGAGTCAGGAAAGTGTTATCATCACCGAGCACGCGCATCATCGACCGATCGGTCGGTCGTAAGGAATCGTTCTCAATCGAATGGGTAGCAATAGAAATCGTCAGTTGTGCTTCGTTTTGAGCGATTTTTGCGATCTATTTTTTTCTTTGGGGGGTGGGGGTTTAATCTACGCAACTGTGTTCCATGGCAGAGGAACGGAAGCGTGTTGTTTTAACTTTAAGCCAGGCGCTGGATATCATACGTAAATTTGAAGACGGCAGTTCCGTTAAAACACCTCAAGTGAAACGTGATTTACACCTAGATCAGTGGTTTTTTTTGGCAGGTCGTCCGTGATTTTGAATTATCCGCGGCCGTCCTGCCCGTCACGTTAAGCGCGGTTAATCGAGAGTCTTCCGGATTCTCCGTCGACCGTCAGCTCAAACGAAGGGGGGCGCTGCACCGCTCGCCGAGACTTCCAAAATGAACTCTTCGCCGTTCCGAGGCCGACGCGACAAAGAATCATCCCGACAATTATAATTGATTATCCTTTTTATTTTTGTATCATTATCATCATCATCATCATTATTATTATTTTTTTAAAGAAATCATCGCAATCATTAGATAAATATCAGGTAAATATGTGACAATTAAAAGCTACCAAACTGTCCTGCTTTGGTCGGGACAGTCCCTGCGGGTCCATAATTGCCCTGTGAAAAAAAATTTGCTTATTTTTTTTTGGTCCCAGGTTTAAAAATACAAATGTTCTGGCCTAATGCTCAACACCTTTTACGGACATGGGCGGGGCTACCTGAGCAGTGGGTGGAGCTACCTGAGTAGTGGGCGGCGATAGTGGCTCAGTGGGTGGGGCTACCTGGGTCGTGGGCGGTGCTAGTGTCTGAGTGGGCGTGGCTACCTGAGTAGTGGGTGGGGCTGCCTTGGTGGGCGGTGATAGTGGCTGAGTGAGTGTGGCTACTTTGTTGGGCGTGCTCGTAGCTGAGTGGGTGTGGCTACCTGAGTGGTGGGCGGTGCTAGTGGCTCAGTGGGTGGGACTACCTGAGTAGTGGGCGGTGCTAGTGGCTCAGTGGGTGTGGCTACCTGAGTGGTGGGCGGTGCTAATTGTTCAGTGGGCGGGACTACCTGAGTAGTGGGCGGTGCTAGTGGCTCAGTGGGTGGGACTACCTGAGTGGTGGGCGGTGCTAGTGGCTCAGTGGGTGGCACTACCTGAGTAGTGGGCGGTGCTAGTGGCTCAGTGGGCGGGACTACCTGAGTAGTGGGCGGTGCTCGTGGCTCAGTGGGCGGGGCTACCTGAGTCGTGGGCGGTGCTCGTGGCTCAGTGGGCGGGGCTACCTGAGTCGTGGGCGGTGCCAGTTAGTTCTAGATTTAAAGCTTTCGTGACTGCAAGGATCCATACTATTTGGTTCTATTCGGTAAAGTCACGTAAAAAATACAACAACAAAAAATTCACGACGTTTCAGCCACAACACAAGCAGCCTTCATCAGGTGAAGGGAGCAGACTGTCTAGAGGACAGCGCTGGAGTGAACACAGCCAAGCTCAGACCGCGACCTTTAAGCTGTGTGAGAGGACTTGACAAAGGAATTGGCATCAAAATTTGCCAGTCTGCACTTGCTCCCGCCCTGTACATCGTTCATCATGCTAAGTCCGCCAATCAAATGCTAATTTTTATGCCAATTCCTTTGTCAAGTCGCTCTGCTTCCTCTCACACAGCTTAAAGGTCGCGGTTTGAGCTTGGCTGCGTTTCACTCCAGCGCTGTCCTCGAGACAGTCTGCGCCCTTCACCTGATGAAGGCTGCTTGTGTTGTGGCCGAAACGTCGTGAATTTTTTTTATTTTTTTATTTTTTGTTGTTTTTTTACGTGACTTTACCGAATAGAACCGAAGAGTATGGTGCCAGTTAGTTCAGTGGGTGTGGCAATGTAAAAGCGGGCGTGGCTTACAGAGGGATTGGCTGACAGAGCCAATCCTGAGCCAACCTGTGAAGGGGAATGCGGGAAAACCCCCTCTCATCCACGGCCCGACTACTACTTTGCTTGGTACACAGGAGGTGACGGGTTCATGCCCACGCTGTCGCCTGTTGTATATTTGGAGTTTCCGTTGCCTCTCTCTCCAAATATACAGCGGCAGCAGCAGCAGCAGGCATCGTCAGGGGTTCGGGTTTTCAATGTGCGGGCGAGAGAGTTAACATCTCCCCACGGCAAGCGTGGCTTCTCCCCACTTCCACGGGCCTCGGGTTAAGACGGAGAACAACGGCAGAGCGCCGGCACCACCCAGCCCTCGCCTGCGCCTTGCCATCGCCGACAAACCACCGCCCCCCCATCCACCACCACCACCCCCCACCCCCCCATCCAACCCTTGACTAGAACGTGGCCGTGGCCACGAGGAGGAGGCAGAGGAGGAGGAGGATGAGGAGTGAACCAGCATGGCCGAGGGGCCCGTGGAGACTTGGGCCGCCCCTCGACGCGTTGCACAGGTCCTCGGTGCAGCAGGTCGTGCGGACGCTTCCGACCACCAGGTCAATGTTGGTGAGGGCCAGGGAGGCACAGACTCCCGAGGTGGAGCACAGCTTGGTGAAGGTGTTGACTTTGTAGGGAAGGTGCCGGGGGGGAGGGTAGGAGGGCAAAGCGAGGGTTGGCGAGATGGCCCATAATGTCCGTCAAACGATTAAACACTTTTTTTTTTAGTTCTAATAATGTTAGTAACGCTTTCTTGGTGGTTTCGGTAAAGTCACGTGGAAGGGAAACAATAACATGATAAAAAATATAAAACAATAAAATTCATCATCTGGGTTCTTTCGGTAAAGTCATGTAGAATGAGAGAGACATCAAACAAAGAGAAACATCACACAAACAGAGAGACATCACACACAGAGAGAGACATCACACACAGAGAGACATCACACAGAGAGAGACATCACACACAGATAGACATCACACACACAGAGAGACATCACACACAGAGAGAGACATCACACACACAGAGACATCACACACAGAGACATCACACACACAGAGACATCACACACACAGAGACATCACACACAGAGATATCACACACACAGAGAGACATCACACACAGAGGGACATCACACACAGAGAGACATCACACACAGAGAGAGACATCACACACAAAGGGACATCACACACACAGAGAGACATCACACAGAGAGACATCACACACAGAGAGACAACACACATAGAGAAATCAAACACAGAGGGACATCACACACACAGAGAGACATCACACACAGAGAGAGACATCACACACACAGAGAGACATCACACAGAGAGAGAAACATCACACACAGAGGGACATCACACACACAGAGAGACATCACACACAGAGAGACATCACACACAGAGACATCACACACAGAGGGACATCACACACAGAGAGACATCACACACAGAGAGACATCACACACACAGAGAGACATCACACACAGAGGGACATCACACACAGAGAGAGACATCACACATACAGAGACATCACACACAGAGAGACATCACACACAGAGAGACATCACACACAGAGAGTGACATCACACACAGAGAGATACATCATGCACACAGAGAGACATCACACAGAGAGAGACATCACACACAGAGAGAGACATCACACACAGAGAGAGACATCACACTCAGTGAGACATCACAGACAAAGGGGGACATCACACACAGAGAGCCATCACACACAGAGAGAGACAACACACACACAGAGACATCACACACACAGAGAGAAATCAAACACAGAGGGACATCACACACAGAGAGACATCACACACAGAGAGAGACATCACACACACACAGAGACATCACACAGAGAGAGACATCACACACAGAGGGACATCACACACACAGAGACATCACACACACAGAGACATAACACACAGAGATATCACACAGAGAGAGACATCACACAGAGAGACATCACACACAGCGAGACATCACACACAGAGAGAGACAACACACACACAGAGACATCACACACACAGAGAAATCAAACACAGAGGGACATCACACACAGAGAGACATCACACACAGAGAGAGACATCACACACACACAGAGACATCACACAGAGAGAGACATCACACACAGAGGGACATCACACACACAGAGACATCACACACAGAAACATAACACACAGAGATATCACACAGAGAGAGACATCACACAGAGAGACATCACACACAGCGAGACATCACACACAGAGAGAGACATCACACAGAGACATCACACACACAGAGACATCACACACACAGATACATCACACACACAGAGGGAAATCACACACAGAGAGACATCACACACACAGAGACATCATACACAAAGGGACATCACACACACACATCGACATCACATCACACAGAGAGACATCAGACAGAGAGAGAGACATCACACACAGAGGGACATCACACACAGAGACATCACACACAGAAAGACATCATACACAGAGACATCACACACAGAGGAACATCACACACAGAGAGACATCACACACAGAGACATCACACACACAGAGAGACATCACACACAGAGACATCACACACAGAGAGACATCATACACAGAGGGACATCACACACACAGAGACATCACACACACAGAGACATCACACACAGAAAGACATCACACAGAGAGACATAACACAGAGAGACGTCACACACAGAGACATCACAGACAAAGGGGGACATCACACACACAGAGAGACATCACACACAGAGAGACATCACACACAGAGAGACATCACACACAGAGACATCACACACACAGAGACATCACACACAGAGACATCACACACACAGAGACATCACACACAGAGACATCACACACACAGAGAGACATCACACACAGAGAGGTATCACACACAGAGGGACATCACACACAGAAAGACATCACACACAGAGAGAGACATCACACACAGAGGGACATCACACACAGAGAGACATCACACACAGAGAGAGACATCACACACAGAGAGACATCACACAGAGAGAGACATCACACACAGAAAGACATCACACACAGAGAGAGACATCACACATAGAGAGAGACATCACACACAGAGAGAGACATCAAACACAGAGAGACATCACACACAGAGAGACATCACACAGAGAGAGACATCACACACAGAACGACATCACACACAGAGAGAGACATCACACACAGAGAGAGACATCACACACAGAGAGAGACATCAAACACAGAGAGACATCACACACAGAGAGTGACATCACACACAGAGAGATACATCATGCATACAGAGAGACATCACACAGAGAGAGACATCACACACAGAGAGAGACATCACACACAGAGAGAGACATCACACTCAGTGAGACATCACAGACAAAGGGGGACATCACACACAGAGAGCCATCACACACAGAGAGAGACAACACACACACACAGAGACATCACACAGAGAGAGACATCACACACAGAGGGACATCACACACACAGAGACATCACACACACAGAGACATAACACACAGAGATATCACACAGAGAGAGACATCACACAGAGAGACATCACACACAGCGAGACATCACACACAGAGAGAGACATCACACAGAGACAACACACACACAGAGACATCACACACACAGAGAAATCAAACACAGAGGGACATCACACACAGAGAGACATCACACACAGAGAGAGACATCACACACACACAGAGACATCACACAGAGAGAGACATCACACACAGAGGGACATCACACACACAGAGACATCACACACACAGAGACATAACACACAGAGATATCACACAGAGAGAGACATCACACAGAGAGACATCACACACAGCGAGACATCACACACAGAGAGAGACATCACACAGAGACATCACACACACAGAGACATCACACACACAGATACATCACACACACAGAGGGAAATCACACACAGAGAGACATCACACACACAGAGACATCATACACAAAGGGACACCACACACACACATCGACATCACATCACACAGAGAGACATCAGACAGAGAGAGAGACATCACACACAGAGGGACATCACACACAGAGACATCACACAGAAAGACATCATACACAGAGACATCACACACAGAGGAACATCACACACAGAGAGACATCACACACAGAGACATCACACACACAGAGAGACATCACACACAGAGACATCACACACAGAGAGACATCATACACAGAGGGACATCACACACACAGAGACATCACACACACAGAGACATCACACGCAGAAAGACATCACACAGAGAGACATAACACAGAGAGACGTCACACACAGAGACATCACACACAGAGAGAAACATCACACACACAGAGAGACATCACACACAGAGAGACATCACACACAGAGAGACATCACACACAGAGACATCACACACACAGAGACATCACACACAGAGACATCACACACACAGAGACATCACACACAGAGACATCACACACACAGAGAGACATCACACAAAGAGAGGTATCACACACAGAGGGACATCACACACAGAAAGACATCACACACAGAGAGAGACATCACACACAGAGGGACATCACACACAGAGAGACATCACACACAGAGAGAGACATCACACACAGAGAGACATCACACAGAGAGAGACATCACACACAGAGAGATACATCATGCACACAGAGAGACATCACACAGAGAGAGACATCACACACAGAGAGAGACATCACACACAGAGAGAGACATCACACTCAGTTAGACATCACAGACAAAGGGGGACATCACACACAGAGTGCCATCACACACAGAGAGAGACAACACACTCACAGAGACATCACACACACAGAGAGAAATCAAACACAGAGGGACATCACACACAGAGAGACATCACACACAGAGAGAGACATCACACACACACAGAGACATCACACAGAGAGAGACATCACACACAGAGGGACATCACACACACAGAGACATCACACACACAGAGACATAACACACAGAGATATCACACAGAGAGAGACATCACACAGAGAGACATCACACACAGCGAGACATCACACAGAGAGAGAGACATCACACAGAGACAACACACACACACAGACATCACACACACAGAGAAATCAAACACAGAGGGACATCACACACAGAGAGACATCACACACAGAGAGAGACATCACACACACACAGAGACATCACACAGAGAGAGACATCACACACAGAGGAACATCACACACACAGAGACATCACACACACAGAGACATAACACACAGAGATATCACACAGAGAGAGACATCACACAGAGAGACATCACACACAGCGAGACATCACACACAGAGAGAGAGAGACATCACACAGAGACAACACACACACAGAGACATCACACACACAGAGAAATCAAACACAGAGGGACATCACACACAGAGAGACATCACACACAGAGAGAGACATCACACACACACAGAGACATCACACAGAGAGAGACATCACACACAGAGGGACATCACACACACAGAGACATCACACACACAGAGACATAACACACAGAGATATCACACAGAGAGAGACATCACACAGAGAGACATCACACACAGCGAGACATCACACACAGAGAGAGAC